CCATTGCTCTGATTTCATCCAGTTCAATCCTAGGGCAAGCCCGTGCGCGTCTTCGACTTCCTAGCTCATTGCAATCGCAACCGTATCATGAGGGTTCACGCCGCAATCAACTGGTTCCGAGTGAGATGTCATCACGTTGTTGACTTCCCAGAGATCCGTGATCGCGACATTGCCTTCATAAAGAGTCGGGGGTTGTGACGTTGCCTTCCCAGAGAGCCGCAACCCCGTCGTTGCCTTTCCACAATCCAACTAGCATGACGATGTTGTGATCCTTCCAACTGCACGATCCCATCTGACGCGATCCCATCTTAGGTATCGCTATTGCAAACCTTCAAGCGCGATGCCACTATCCCCTCCCAAACAACCTTGCCGCAACTGGCTGCTACAATTAAGGCCGAGGCTCTGATACTATGTAGAAAGAATTTTTCAAAACCTAATATGCACATTCATAAAATGCACTTAAATAGGGTATTACAACATTTTACAAATAAACTCCTAGAATTCTTCAATATTATCTTTTTATCAAAAAGACTCTAAATAAGGTCCAATTCTCAACATATTTAATGAGGACAATCAAAACCTTTTTCTTAAGAAAGATAGAAACTTTACCATAAGAATTATGAGTTTTGATCACCTCCAAACCTACTCCATCAAGGTCAGTCAATAGTGGAGGTGTAAACAAGTTGAGTCGAACTGGAATCACCCTCAGATTGTGCTTGAGCTTGATTATATTTATTGAGTTCAAGCTCGAGCTTGATCCTAAGTCCACGAGTTCAAGCCAGCTTGTTTATTATAAAATAGAAAAACTAATATTAATTGAAGACAGTGCTATAAAAAAATGACAAATAGAATGAGCAATTATTAGAGAAATAATAAAAAAAATAACTTCATATAGACTACAAAACATTAATTTTTAAAATTTTTAATACTTTAAAATAAAGTCTTAAAATTTAATATAACTTGTATTAATATTTTTGTAAACGAGCCGGCTCACGAGCTAACGAGTCAAGTTGGAGCTTAAGCTTGGCTTGTTAGCTCATCGAACTCAGTTCACGAGCCACTTATCGAGTCGAGCTCAAGCGGGCTCACGAGTTGGCTGGACTCACTTACACCCCTAGTCAGTAGCTTTTTTAAGGAAAGACCAAAGTCTATGTAGGACAATCTTATGTTCTTAATAGAGACACTTTGGAGTCTGAAAGAGAAAACTATATTCCACTTAAGTAGGATAGTGTTTAACTTTCTTTAAGAGAAGAATTTGGAGCCTAAGAAGTGGAAATTACACACCATCTATAGAGAACCACTCTTAAATGAAGTATTATTCATCAATGCTAGTCAATTTGATGCTCTTTTTTAAAGGAGAAGTGGAGCTTGGAGATGATAATTAGGCAACACTAGCTTGAAGATGATAATTGCACAACCTGAAAATAATAGTATGACAACAATAATCTAAAAATAATAATCAGACAACAACCTATAGATAATTCTTTTGGTATGACTCTCAAGGGAGTTCTGAAACATGCTAAGACAAAAAATGAGTGAATTTCCACATCCTCAAACATATTTATAGCTAAAAACTTCAAACACCGCAAAAATCGTTGGCATGTCGTTGCGAGCGCAAGTATATGAGCTTGCACATGGCGTTGGAGCGCTCATGCACGCACCCACGCACCCACGCACACAACCACACACTTGTGGGCTCAGATGCACCACTTCTTGAGTGGATGATCATGTGTGTACCGTCACATGCATGAGCATTCACGCCCATAAATGCTGGGCCCTACATGCATGCAGCTTTGCCAATGAGACCTAATCCTATAAGTGTGTTCACGTATGTCGCCACAAACTGTAGCGACGACATGTCCTATCCTGCCCTAGGGACCAACGGGTATGTTTCATTATTTTTTGGCGTTTCGAATTCAATTTTGACCCTTTTAAAGCTTAACAGAGCATCTATAATAAATTTTGAGCAATTAAAAAAATAATTTTTGCTCTAATCAACATATCGGCTTTAAGATTATAGCATGAGGGAAGGTCTGCATTAACATTTAGGGAGAGCGAGGACCAATCAAATTTTGTAATATTTCTAAAATTATAATTTTTGAGCCACAAGTTTTTTAATGACTTAATATATAATTTTGGACAATATATCATTGGCGTTAAAAAATAGGAAGAGAACTGATGTATCACAAAAAATTTACATGATTATGCAAAAATCTCGATGTATTTTAAATGATAATTTCAAGAGTTCAATTAAAAATTATTTGAGCTCCAATTTTAACAAATTTATAGTGAAATTAAACATCTCAACAATACAATCCTGTGACACGAATAATGAATCAATCTAAGATCAAATGAGCCCAAATCAAACACTTGAAGTAAGATTGAAAGCTTTAATGTACTAATTGCAAAGTTAAATGATATCCAAAATCATTTAATTATGAGGTCATTGAGAATCGACATGAACCGTCAAAAGGAGTGTTTTGAAATTTTGATTAAATTTATCAAATTATTAATTTTAAAAACATGTGGAAGAAGAGAGTGAGCTAAGAATCAAATCTGAACTCATAAAAATAGCTTAAATCCAAGGAACATCAGAAACCGCTATTGTAGCTTAATTATGACCGTTGTTGCCAAGTTATTATCATATGGTTGTTGTTGCTTAATTGTTATCACTTACAAACAATTATTTATAATTTTGTACGTCATCTTCTCTGATAAAAAAAAATAAAACTTTATAACTTTAATTATAAAGTGAATTATTTTGATTGGATAAGGACCCGATGATTTTTTTTCTTCAAGGTTTTCCATGTAAAAAAATCTTATTGTCTCTTATCATATTTTTATATGTGTGTTGGATATTCTGGCTAAGATAAGATTTTATTTTTCTCTGCTATTGAGAATTGTCTAGCACATAAGCCATATAGTATGAGTCAAAAAATTATAATGGATTTTATGTTTTGCTTACATGTCATAACAACATTATAACATAAATTTTGCCATTAAATGGTGCTAAATGTTAAATATGTCTAATGCCACACATTAATATTTCAATGGTTCACAACCTATAGCTCCTAATTTGTAATCAATAAACATACATTCCCATACCGACTCTTCTTGTGGTCAAAACATGAATGATACTCAAGCAGATATTCTTATTGACATGATTGCAAATATTACCGAAAGAGGACTTAAAAATTTTTTTAATTATAATAATTTTAATAAACTTTTTTAAAAGAGGAAAAGAAAAACTTCAAAATTTTGGAAAGACTTCATAATATTAAAATAGACAAATAGTTGAAAATATATGACACAAGTATTGTAAAAATAAGGTTGATGCAACAACTCGACATAAAAAATATGGGTGACACTTCAAAATAATCTTCTCGATCATTCTAGAGTATCATATTTTTCCTATTTAGCCTCAGGACTAAAAAATTGACCCAAATTAATTCCTTAAATTGATCCAAATTGATTCAGAGACTAAATTATAATTAATCTTATATAGTTGAGAGACAAAGATGAGATCAGTTTAGTTTCATAACTTCTACAAAAGGAACATTTTGGATCTATTTTGTAAAATTTGGAAAATGTGACACTCTATAACTAAGTTGGTTACACTCAAACAGTTGGGGTGCCAAAAGTATTTTTGGGATTTAATCTTAAAAGACATTTTAAAATTTGTCCAAAGAAATTAAAAAAAAGGAAAGTGCATGTAACTACGACAACCAACTCTTGATATAATAGTGGGAGTGATAATAGTGGGAGTGGGGTGCAGTGTAAACTTGCAAGTATGACCATACTAAATTAGATATTAGACCTCAAAGAATCATGATTAAAGAATTATCTTTCTTTTTCATGAAGTATGAAGCATACCACGAGTGATAGCCCAACAAAATTGTGTTAGCTTTTATGAAATTAAGAAGAAATAATTGAAAATGTTGTTGAGTTTGAATGATTGACAGGAAAATAAACTTATGAATGTTAATGAAAAAATACATATATAACTATCGGTGAACATTTTATTGATAATAAGTGGAAGTTAAGAAAGAGTGACACGTTGCACATACATAATAAATCAAAAAGTGCAAGATGAATTTTCCAGTTAACCCATAGAAGGTACAAAATTTTTAGACCTTAAAGTGCAAAATTAATATATCCAGTGATATCTCAAAGAAACTCCAATTGCAAAACAAGATTTAATCAAAGGTTGTTGTACTAATGAAAGCAATATATATTAGACTTTCATGTGCCTTACAGTTTAGAGGCGTGTTTCCCCGCTATCAAGTTAGAGATTCATCCTAAATCTATCATCCAAGTGAAAAAAATCAGAATATGGCTGAAAGGGGGTTTGCTCTTTTTTTGTGTTAATTTTATGCGGTTACTAACATAAATTATGTGTTCAAATAATTTAGAGTAGCCAAGTATAAGACAATTTGGTCATAAAAATTTATAAGCAAGCTAAATATGAATCTCTCTCTCTCTCTCTCTCTCTCTCTCTAGTCAAATTTGAAATTGTAGTTTTGTCAAGCCATAAAAAGTCTACCCACAGCGTAATTGTAGTTTTGTCAAGCCATAAAAAGTCTACCCACAGCGTAATTGTAGTTTTGTCAAGCCATAAAAAGTCTACCCACAGCGTAAACAAACTTGACATTGATAGACGGTTTGGCAAAGGAATTGAATGCAAATAGTCACATAAGATTAATAATTTGTTCTCTCTTTTATCTCTCTCATGTGCCATACATGAAGTTTGTTTAAGTGTGACTGGAGCAAAATAGGGCATTTTCATATATATAATATACTAAAAAGGTTGGTTTTTGTATTCAGGATGATTGTAATGTTTTAATGTGAAATTTGCAGCATGAACGAAAATATTTCACAAAAGGAGCAAAAGAGCATGCGTTCAAAGATTTCCACATAAAAATGAACTGAAGCAAAAATTAAAAGAACAATTACATAGAGAAAAAAAGAAAACTAATTTTGTTCAAAAAATCATAACGCACCTTAAGATTTTCAAGCAACTTCATATAAAAGTAGGTATCTGGAGAGAAACTCGACTGCAATTTTCTTCTCTAAAAATAAGATTTACATGAACTAAAGTTCAAATTCTTAAATAAACAACAAAAAAATATGCATTTATAAATAATAAGTGACATAACTAATTAATTATAAATTTGATAAGTTATTGAAAATAAACACACATAATTTATGACACTTTTCAAATTTTAAGTGTTACTATTATAAATAAAAAAAAATTAGAATACTAATTCTTTAAATATTTAAGATCTGTGCTAGATAAAGATTTGATTTTAAGAAAATATAAGCGAGGATGAAAGATTAATGGATCACATACCGTATGTAATGGAAAATAAAAAAACTAGATCAAAATATTCTGATCCAGTTTTTTTTTCCATGCGCGTTCAATCTCAGCCCTCACTTCTCAAAAACCGTAGTCGATGTCCGTGTCGTTCTGGTTGGTAGACTTCTTCATCAGGCGGCCATGTTCGTCGTAGCGGTCGAGGTTGTCACAGGGCTCCGGGAAGACAGACCCGAAGACCCGTCCCTCAACATACGAGCACTGGAAAACACGCTTCTTCTTGTAACTCAAACCCACAGACATATCCCTCAGAGTCACCCCGCGCACCGGTATCTCATCGCTGCCACTGATGCGCACTGGCACACGCACCTCTCGCCCGTGCACGCCCACGAATGAGAGCCCATTTATTGCGGGTAAGGCCCGGGGGTCGTACCCGGCATCCGGGTGCTCGTTGTAGTCAGTCTTCACCACAATGCCTACGCGTACGTTGTCGAGGGTGAGGTTGCGGCAGCTTATACCCGTAGCCGCCGCGGCCGGCGGCGGTCTTGATGCGGACGCCGCGCCGCGATTCCCAGACGTGGATGTCTTCCATCGTTATGTTCGAAACGCCGCCGGACATCTCACTGCCGATCGATAGACCCGCGCTGGTAATGGAAGGAAAGTGAGAGTTAGAAATGAAGTTAAGATTGGAGTGGTTCGTTAGGGTTATTAGGGTTTCAGAAAAGGTAAACCTGACGACGGATCGGAGGGTGACGTTGCGGATTAAGATGTTGGTGGAGGGGCGGCCGTAGGCTATGCCGTACTGATCCCAGCCGCTCTTGATGGCGATACCGTCGTCACCCACGCATATGAAGCTGTTCTCTATCACCATATTCTCGCAGGAATCTGGAAGTATTTTAGCATTTCATTTTTAACGCACAGTCGCAATGTGCTTTTTCATGCAATATTGTGCAGTGCTTTGCTATGTTTAGATCTACAATTAATTAGATAAATATATTGCTAATTATATTAAAATTATTCTTTAAATTCTGTAACAATGAGAATTGCCATATAGAGAATAAATTAATAATTATTTAAGAAAAAGTTATCTGTTTATAAAAAGTTAACCTAAATCATTTTTCTAGGAAATCTTATTTAACTCTCATGCACTTTCCCAAAGCATGTTGGACAAAAAACTGCAATTGATTGCTTGAGGTCGCAAATAAATTTGGAGAACAATGAATTTATTCAGATTTGTTGATCCTAATTAAGGCTTCGTTCAACGAACTTCTTTTGAAATAAGCATTGGTGAGACGGAGGTCCTCCACCGTTCAAAATGACGAAAAATTGACGTTCTTGCAAATAACTTCCGAAGACGCTCCGCTGGCGTTGCTTCACCAAACAAAAACTTTCACAAGTGTCGGTGTTCACTGCAACACAATGAAGGTTCAGCGTCTTCTCAAACGAAGCTTAACACGGCAGAGAAAAGGAGAGGGGGATGCATAGTACTAAATAGTAATTTGGAATATTGATTAGCTCCTAATAAATGATCACCTATTTATAGATAACGGGATAGTATGTGTAATTATATGTTTGCACCTGCTTTAATGGGGGCGTTACATGTTATTTTGGGTATTATACAGATATAAGCTTGTGGGGGCAAGTACCACTCCGGTTGGCTATGCTAGATTAATGTTGTTGCTCGACCATGGGCTGACTTTGGGTCAGCGGAATTTAGCTCGGTCGGCTCAGTTTTGTTGGCCGACAATCCTGCTCTTATTTTTAACTCTTGATCCTTGAATAAAGAGCTTTGTTCGGTAGGATGTGGCTAGGTTATAGCACAGATGGTGAAGCACCTTAATCTAATAGGCAACTCACTCATAGTCTGACAAGGTCCTCCGGAATGTTGTTGAACATAATAATTATTGATCCCTATGTTGTGAGATATACATCAGTTGTTGTGGTATATATATAGAAATAAAATAGGAGAACAATCTTTGACGATGCGAAAAATATAACGAGTAAAATTCACACCAGAAAACAGTAACACAGCGGAACACACAGATTTACGTGGTTTGGCAAATTGCCTACATCCACGGAGTTGCAGAGGATTTTACTATTTGAGGAATTTACATCAGTCGATCGTCTCGATTTACAAGAGGAATCTCTCACTTCGTTGTTCTCTCTTCTTCTTTCTCTGTTCTTCTCTCTCTACACCGAGATACACTGAATAAACTCTACACCGAGATATACAGAAGAAGATAAACTTATAAGAGAAATAAACTTAATTTCTCTTCTGCCACAAACCACCAAAAAGAAGCTAAGGGAGAACAATCTTCTTCTTCTTTATTTCTTCTTCTTGCTGCTTTCTGCCGCAAGGAACTACTTCTTGCACTTCTCTTCCTCTATCTCGAGGAAACTGAAGAAGAACACAAAAGGCTGTGGGAGAGCTACTCCTTTTTAACGTGAAACCGGGCGCGGGAGAGGTTGAGCGGGGTGAAGCGAAGCTTCGCTTCGCGGAAACAAGAACATCAGATGCGGGAGCGGTTGGCGCGACGTTTTGCGACAGAGGAGAGGGGTCGCGACCTTTCACAAGAGTCGGGAGCGGGATTGGGTGGCGGGACAGGATCGAGCTCCACACCAACACCTTGGCCTTTCCAATAGGGTCACATAAAGCATCAGTGAGGTGGTTGGGGATGCTGAACTTTCCCTTCGGTTCAGGCCGTAACGAGAGATAAATTGGCGCTTGTAATAGCTACTATTGTAGTATACTAGTGCATATGCTAAGACTTGATTTTGGGATCTGATAAGCCTTGCATGCTTATTTTATGTCTATTAATTTTCTTATAGTTTTTGGAATTGATTTGATGCTTAGTTTATTTATCAATTTTTAGCAATTTTGTGTCATGTTTGATTTATGAAATGTCTTTATCAGATTATGGAGTACTATATTTTAGCATATTTTTACTTATTTTTATGAGTATCATAAATAAAATGTTTTTGTTAGAATTTTCTTTTTTAAGGATTTAACTCTGATTATGAAGACGTTCTTACTTAAGAGGATTCCTCGCATGAAGGCTTTTCTTATTTGAAGAATGCGACTTGATAGCTTTAGGAATGATTTTTAAGTTATGCAATTCTGTTATTTCCAAACCCAAATTAATTCGGTATGGAATGGCAAATTTCAATCAAAAAATGCATCACCAACATAATGATCTCCTAAACTGCTAAACTAAGCATACAATGTGAAACATCTGCAGATGTAAACCAGCAAACAATGGAAAAGAGAGAAATTTGGATCCCAAGTCTAGTGATCACATTCATCTACAAACCATTTTCATGACCACCTTGGTGGTTAGATCTAGCATCCGCGAAGCAGAGGGGAGTACCTAAAGAGTGCTAAAATCTAGTCGCAAGTTTGGCGTAGGAAGACAGTTTAATGTCAAGTTCCCCCTCCATCTTCCTCGCCTCAACTGGATTGCTGAAGCTCTAGACTCGCATCCATCATATCGATGTCCACTTCTTATACCCTTCTTCTCCCTAGCTTACCCTAGCGGCACCAGTGGTAGAGTTGCTGGCTCCGACGACGGTCAAGAAGAGGAATCCCTAACGAGGAACAGGGGAAATGTTGCGGCAGTGAATCTTCGCTTCCCTCCGCTCTTCGAAGCTTTCCGTCAGTACCAGTTTAGTTTAGTAAGGGTAAGGGGGTAAAAGGTGGAGAGCAAGCACGGATCGCCAGTAGGGGTGTAAACGAATCGAACACGAAAGAACAAAGTTTGTGTTCGCGTTCGGTTCATTTAAAATTTAGTTTGTTTGAAATAAGCTCGTGTTCGTTTCTTAACGAACGAGCCGAACAC